AGCAGCATTTGCCCATGGAACATTTGTTGAGTACCTGCTAGGAGTCCAAGGGCAGAAAAGCCATGACCCCTGCTCAGCGAGGTTATGTTCTGGTCAACAACATTAACTGAGTACCTACTATATGCTGGGCATTGGACTGGGCACTGGGGCAAAAGCAGCTAAGACACTGATGAGATTATAGCTTAATGAAGGAGAAGGACTCCCAAACAGATCATTCCAACCTGCTCTTCATAGGTCAAGAGATAATAAGAGCAGGAGGCAACAACAACACTTCCCTAACCTAAGGCTTTGGGGAAGGTTTCCTGAGCCAGGCGATGGCTGGATGGCTGGGTTAGGTCTTGAAAGATGAGTTAGTGTGATCCAGGTGAAGAGGGTGGGAAGGACAGCCTATGCAGAGGAAAGAATAGAAGAGAACTCATGAACCAGCATGGGGTGTTGGAAAGCTACACGCTACTCTCCTATCATCATCGGAGTATGAAGCATGAGGGAGGGAGCGGGATGGGGCAGGAGAAGCAGAGGCAGGTCCCGCTAGGACTTACCTACCAGGCTCCAAGTTAGGAATTTGTTGTTGTGATGAGGAGCCAATGAAGGCTCTCAAGCAGGGGAAGCTTGGCGGTTTTCATCTTAGGTGGGTTACTCCTGAGGTAGCATGGAGGATGGATATGAGGGCATTGAGCCTGGAGGCCAGGAGAAACAGTAGGGTAACAGTTGCGGTCAGAAGTATAAGGAGGGCGCCTGGGTGGCTCAGTTGGTTACGCGACTGCCTTCGGCTCAGGTCATGATCCTGGAGTCCCGGGATCAAGTCCCGCATAGGGCTCCCTGCTCGGCGAGGAGCCTGCTTCTCCCTCTAACCCTCCCCCCTCTCATGTGCTCTCTCTCTCTCTCTCATTCTCACTCTCTCAAAATAAATAAATAAATCTTAAAAAAAAAAAAAAAAAAAGAAGTATAAGGAATAGTGAGGACCTGAAGTAGAGAATGATAGCGGGGATCTAGAGGGGAAAATCAATTCCAGAAACGTTTAGAACGGAAAATCAGTAATATATGATAAATCAATAGAAGGGGAGGGAGGGTGGTGCAGAGTAGGAGTAGATGAGGCAAAGGAAGGAGCCTAGAATGCCCCATGTTTCTGCATTGGACAGGGTGAATAGGGAAGAGTGAGGAGAGATGGGAGTTAGTTAACTCTGGTACATGATGAATTTGAGGTTCCCCTGGGACCTCCAGCTGGAGATGCTCAACAGGCAGTGGAAGGCATGAGGCTGAGACCGGGAGAAGTCAGGCCCGGAGATAGCAATTGAGAGTCATTGACTCAGAGGCAGGGAATGATCCCTTGGGATGTCGTCTAAGGAAAGCACATAGAGAGGGGCAAGGAGGCAGGGATGGGAAGCTAAAGAAAACCACCTTTCAAGGGTGGGCAGAGGAAAATGAGTCAAAGAAAGATCTGGGAGTACATGGTGGAAGAGGTAGGAAGAGAGCAGGATGGACAAGTTTCAGGGATGTCAACAGAGCAAACTTTCAGAGAGGTCCCAGGGCTGGAAGGGGTGTCATTCAGGCTCAGTAAGGTCTGGTGCTGATAGAGAGATCCACTCCAGAGAAAAATATGGCCTATGCAGCATTTCAGCTGGCATTGCCCAGAAAATGAAGAGCACATACTGCCAAGGAGACCCTGCACCCAAATGAGGCCAAGAAGGGACAGGGATGGCTCTGAGTCCAGCCTGAAGAAGGGCTCATGGGTGCACCGTCAGCAGAGAACACCAGATAGCGGTAACATCTGGTAGCTCTCCTTCCTGAAAACAGAGACACAACTATAGCAGAAATGAGGCCCAGCTCACACAGATTTCAAATTTTTATTCTGCTTTCCCTCCCTTCATCCCCCTCTCCCCCGCTTCCTTCTTTCCTTCCTTCCTTTTCTCTGGATCCTTCATCTATTCTTATTCTGACTCTTCTATCTGAAATGAGTTCTTTGGAGCATTTAAGACTGGGGGAAACCACCAGCTACAGTGGGATTAATGAAGACATGTCAAAGGAAGGAAATTACTGGGTGGAGAAAGAACAGGCATCTTTTTACCAGAAGAAGGTACATGAAACACAAAATGAGGGAGGCTAGAACAAGAGCAGCTCAAGGAGCTTTGCTCTGCAGTCTTGGCTTCCCATTGTCGCATGTTTTCAAGCTGGTGGCTGGCTCAAACATACCGGACATTAATGGCCAGAGAAGACAGTGCTTGGCAACACAATGAAAGTTTGCCTGATGAGAAAATCGCGAAAGGGCTGGCGTGGAGAGGATCTCAGCACAGGTCATGATGATACTTGAAACCCCACTGAGGTATGAGATGGGCCCAACTTTCAGACTCTCTGAGCCTACAAAATCTAAGGCTTCAGGGCCCATCCCCCATGAACAGGACAGGAAGTTAGAAAATGAGATAAAACTGCACGTTAGAAGAAAGACTTAAACAGGTGGCACCTGTGTTCCTGCCCGTATCAGAAGTACATCATCTTCTGAGCCTGGCACTTTTTCCCCATTTCCACCTCTTACAATGCCACTCCTCTCTTTGAACATTCAGCTCAAATGGTGTTTCCACTTTGAAGTCTTCCTGGATCTTTCTGGTTGCAATCAATTGCTCCTTTTATGTTCGTGGTTGGCCATGTTGATGGATTTCTGTTCCTGGTGCCCATCTGTTTCCCTCCGTAGACTTAGCCCCCTGAGGGTCTGGCCTTTGTCTTGTTCACTGTTGTATGAAGGCCGTGTAGCACCATGTCTACATATCTGGGCTCTGGGATCAGACTGTCTGGATTCAAATCCTCCTGTCACCTTGAACACTTATCCCACTGGAATTAGTTCTAATTAGCCTCTGTGAGCCTCAATTTCCCTATCTGTAAGATGGGGTGACAGTAGTACCCAACTCCTAGGGTTATGTGAATGACATGTGATGATTATATGTCTGGCATACCCTAAGAACTCCATAAATGTTAGCTATTGCTAGAGTCATTACTTGCAATTCTACAATGCCCAATACATGACTAGTTCTCTGTAAGAACTTCTTAACCTCAACTCCATGACCCCACGGACCCTCCTGTGCCTTGAATAGATGTTCTCATGAGACTATACTTTGGATAAATTGCCGGTGGGGTCTCCTAAAGACGGTTAACTCTAACAACACTCTGGAGAATAGTCAGAGTTTTCTAGATTCTTGTTTTGAAAAAAAAAAAAAAAATCAAGTCCACCTCACCTTCTATTGTTTATGAGTCCGACACATAATCCATCTCTCAACCTGAGAATGACTATGGTTTAGAATAAATGTCTGGCTCTGCCAGTATCAAGCATGAAAACAAATGAGGTGAGCTGGGGAGATCCTTGTGTATACAAGCTCAGCATGTAGGTCTTACTGATGAAGCACTTTTGACATCAAGAGCCACAAACTCCAGGGGGCAGTTGGAGCTATGGAGACCTGACCAAGCACTAGGTAATGGTTAACTAGCTAAACCACCCCACACTCCTAATTATCTCCATTTCACAGATGCAAATGTTGAGGCAAGATGACTTGCTCAGTGTCTCCTAGCCAGCCAGTGGCAGGAACCAACTAGTTCCCACCTAGACCGCCATATTGACTGTTACTAGAAAAGTATCTTTCTAATCAGCTCTGCCTCATCTCCTGCCACTTGAAGGAAAAAACCCATCTCATCACTGGCAAAACTCACTTCCTCTGGGACAAGTGACTGCCAGGGTTTTTTTGTTTTTTGTTTTTTGTTTTTAAAGATTTTATTTATTTATTTGAGAGAGAGAGAGAAAATGATAGAGAGCACGAGAGGGAAGAGGGTCCGAGGGAGAAGCAGACTCCCTGCTGAGCAGGGAGCCCGATGTGGGACTCGATCCCGGGACTCCAGGATCATGACCTTTTGACCTGAGCCGAAGGCAGTCGTCCAACCAACTGAGCCACCCAGGCGCCCGACTGCCAGGGTTCTTAACCATGGAGGAGGGAGCTGTCCCCAGAACAGGCTGGAGCCTGTGGATTATCCACTCCTGGTTTGTGTTATTTCAAGTAGCACACAGCTACCTGAGCTCTAGATGAGTGAGCTGAGGAAGAAAAAGTGACTAAATCTCAGTGAGAATTATATACTTTCAGAACTTGAAAATTCAGACATTCATTGCTGAGACAATGAAAATGAATTGTGTGACTTGCCCAAGGGCTATGCAGTTTTAAAAAGTGGGTACAACCGAGGTCTTTCAATAATCCTATATTGCTCAGTGTCCCTAGTGTTGGATGGCAGTCAACCATGATTTACCCAAACAACAAGGCTCCCTCAATTGGAGAGACCAAAGCTTCCTCCACATTTACCTTTGACATATAAAGAAGTGGAAATGATGTTGGTACTAGAATTAAGCTGACGTGTGTTCATATTCCAGCTCTCCATATTTCTAGCTGGGTGACCTCAAGTACGTTACTTAACCCCTCTGGGTCTTCATTTCCTCCCCAGTCAATTGGGGTTAATAAAAGTACCTACCTCATAGAGTTGTTGTCGAGACTAAATGAGATAACACACAAGAGAGGTTGAGAGCGGCACCTGGCAGGGTTAGCGCTTTATGTAGGAGTTACTCTTATTCAGTTATTGCCTCCCACTGTTTTTACAGAATAACAGAATGATTTGGAGGGAGGGAGAGGAAGGACAAGTCCAACAGTGGCAGCTGGGGTTAAGAGACCTCAGCGCCTGAAGTCTGAATTGTTCTGGGGTTTCAGTCAACTGGAGATAGCTTCTTTTCTAGTCCCTGTTTGGTGAGATACGGGAACAATCTTGGCCACCGGAGGGGCAACACACCCTACAACACTCCAAGCCAGTCTCCTGACGGCAGCGGCAATAGCCCCACCTGGGCCTGTTAGAAATGCAAATTATTTCTGGTACCGCCCGCCCCCCCCAAGACCCACTGAATCACAGCCTGGGGGTGGGGCCCGGCAATGTGTATTAACAAGCCATCCAGGAGATGCTGTTGTGCTCTCAAGTTCCAGAAGCTCTGTAATAGCGTTCTCTCTGCGCTCTTGATTCCTCGGGGAAAGCACGAGGATTTAATCCAGACAGAGATAAATTTCACCCGGGATCATTTATCATCCCACAGTTCTCTTTAAGAAATGTTCTAAAGAGGGACAGATGGGCCTTGATGAAAACAAAGGGAAAACATGAAGTTTCTGCAGGTAAGAAACCCAGGTCATATTTCTCTTTATATTAGCTTCCCGCAATCCCAAACCATCTGCCTGGAATGTTTCAGATTTACTAGCCCATCACTTCCAAATGTATTCCTACTACTCTCAGCACAGCAGTAATGGGAGAAAGGGCAGACAGTTTCCCCTCTTCCTTTTTCCGCAGATTTAGAATGAAAAATTTCATAGAATAAAAACCATGAAAGATTTGAGAAAGGGAGAGAACATCCATACAATTTAGGGGTATTGAATTGTCTCTTTTAGCTTCCTAAGGGCTCCTCATTGTGCTCTCTCCCACCCCCCCACCCAAAATGGCCATTTCATACCTCTCTTCTCTTCAGTCCCCCCCGCCACCCCCCTCCCAACACACCTCCCGCCCCAGTCTCAGATGATTATCTTGCTATATCCTTCGCTGAGAAAGTAGGAGTCAGCAGACAAGGACTCCTTCATCTTTCCACTTCCAAAACTACCTGCTATACTCACCTGTGCCCTTTTTCTCTGCCTCCCTTCCTGGTACGGAGGATGAGTCCAGCTCCTATCAAAGAGCAACCCCTCTGTGCCCTGGATCCATGGGATCCATCCGATCTCGCCTGCTCCTCGAAAATGCTTCTACCAGCCAGCATCCGCAGTCCTCCCTCCGTTCCTCTTGTATCCCTGTCACATGCAGCCCGCAGTCAGTGTTTGCTATCTTCAAGGGGAAAACCTCTCGAAGCTTTATAGCCTCTCCAGCAGCACGACCGCCCCCCCCCCGGCCCCCGTGCCCCCATGTCTCTTTTCCCTTCTCAGCAAACTTGCCGAGAGAGAGCTGTCTGGAGTTACTGATCTGAGATTTGCGGCATCGTGGAGGGAGTACGATGTGGTTCCTAGCACAGACTGGAGCCAGGCTGCCACTTTCTAGCCATGTGGCCTTGGGCAGGTTATTTATTCTCTCTGTGCCTGGGTTCCTCATCTGTAAAATGAGGATGACGTTAGAATCTGCGTAATAAGACTGTGAGAATTGTGTGAATTAATACATATAAAGCACTTAGTAGACCCTTATTGTAAACCATGATTTTGTCCCCACTATACCAAGACATTGCTCCTGTCAATGCCAAACCTAATGTTGACTTCTGTGTTCCTATTTTCACAACGGCATTCAACGCATATGTCCCACTACCTACTTCTTGATCTCTTTTCTTGGTTTCCATGATGCACTCTCCTGATTCCACCCCCCCTTCCCCTGTGATACTGGTATGATCTCTTGGGGTTCACCTCTGCTTCTCTATGCCTGGTCCTGGTTTGGGGATAGCTACACCCTCCTCCGCTGCCCCATACAACTGGAAACCAACCAGGTCTTCCTCTGGGGAACCTGCTCTGGTATGAGGTCTTTCATTCATTTCCTATATTTGATGATTGGTTCTACTCTGCTAAAAAGCTTCAGGGTCCAGGAACAAAATATAACAGTATAGGGACAATTATCCTTTAAAGGGGCTGGCATAAGCTTCAGGGTTGGGACAGAGTCCCATAAGGATGCTAGGGTAAGTTGTGTACTAGCAAGTGCGGTGTAGGAGGATGGCCATATTGGGCCACCCTTCTTGGAAACAGCCTCAGTGCCTAGCAGGATTCCCCCATCTGCCGGCTTCTCATTCTGCTCAACCCATTATCCTGTCGCATCAGAGCATCATGGAGTCCAAGCAACACGCACGATTCAAATACCTAATAATCTCTGTGTTTAAGTACCTAAGACAGTGGTTCCCAAAGTGAGACCAACGGACACTGATACTGCAACAAAATTTTCCCCAGAAGAGTTCGGTAGTCAAGCAAATTTGGAAGTGTTGAACATTCTTAGGTTGTACCATATGAAATTGTCAATGTTCAATTGTTTTCGACCTACAGAAATGGTAATTTCAAAAGGTTCGACCTAAAATGTACTCTTCTGGGACATTCACTTAGGCATATTAGCATATTAAAGTCCTAAAGGTAAAGAAATCTGATTGTGATTGATGCAATGTTATGAAAATGTAATCCTTTTTACAATAATACTTATTAATAAACATCAGGACACACTTCAGGAATCTAGGGGCCCGAGTAATTAGGAAAGAACAGAAGTCATGAATAGAAAAAAAGCACATTACCGTGGGAGCCGGGGAGCAGCATCAGGGACTGAGCAAACGCACGGGAGGACAAGAGCAGGCTGGTATTTTCCATCCTGGGAATGCCCGCCCATCTTTGATATCCAAAGTCATATTTATCAGACCTTCCCCTTATACAGTAATTCTTCCCTGATTAACCTTCTTCCAAATAGGCTTTTTTTGTAACTGACTTCTGCCCTTTTCTCCCTCGTAAAGTATAGGGAGGATTCGTGAGGGGACATCAACAGCTCACCCATATTCCTCAAATGAGAGATACTAAATAAGCATGGGCATTATGTTGACTGCCCTCTCATTATTATAATTATTAATTAGGTTATCTTTTCCGGGTATTAGCATCATCCCAGTTCATAGGTGCTCATCTAATATGCTTACAACTGTGAGGTGAGCTCAGCTAATCTGGATGCAGGGAGGAGTCTCAGCCCTGATGTCCTCAGGGACCATCTCACATGTGCTCTATGAAGAACGGGGGCACGTAGCCAGATCTGCATTTGTTGCTCTCCAGGCACCAGAGCCGAATGTCCATGACAGAGAATGAAATTGTTGGACGGGGTAGATTCAGGTAGAAGAGAGTGAGACACGGGGCTCGGCCAGGACTAAATCCTCAGTGCTTTCACCCTTTCCGCCCCCCATCCCACGGTCTGGAATTCTTCCCGAGAGAGGTTAAAGGCAGGACCCTGTGAGGCCCATTGCTTATACTTTCTGCAAGGGATCATAAATTTCACTACTTAACCATGATCACAACTGTTGAATATAATATATGCAAAGGGAATCAAAAATAGAGTCTAGATCTATCTGCCTCCAAAGTCTATACCCTTTCCTAGTTTAGAAAGAAATTTATTTTATTTTTAATGCTAAGAATAAGTGGTCGCAGCAGCTGGGGAAGTCAGGGTGCCCGGACTGGTGGCAAGGTGACTCTTATGAGGTCAGTCTCTTTAGGTCCAAAGGCTCGATGGCTATACTGTGTCAAGAGCCCAGCTCCCCAGGAGCCTCAGTGCCAAGACCCCAGATGCCATGTTCCACTGCCTTTCTTTAAAAGCCCTTCGAAGTAAAACTGTAAGTGTCAGCAAAGGGGGATATTGGTATGAGAAGGAGGTGTTTTGATACTGCAAAGCTATCAGGTCCTTGGCCCTTTTGAGGCACCAGAAGGACTTTTCTCTTTAAAGAGGTCCCCCAGAACCTCTGTGCTTAAACTGTATGAGAAGACTAAAATTTTGAAAGCTTTTGCGGCACCTGGCTGGCTCTGTTAGAGGAGCATATGACTCTTGATCTTGGGGTTGTGGGTTCAAGTCCCACACTGGGTGTAGAGATTACTTAAAAATAAACTCTTGAAAGCAAACAAACTTTGAAAGCTTTTGACCATGACCAAAGCTGGAAAAGAAAAAAAGATAAATCTGGCTGTTTTCTCATAGTTCCAGGTTGATATTTTCTCATAGCCAAATTCCTAGATCAACAAAATGCTCAACTTCCATAGATTTAGCAAATAGGTAATTATAGTTGCCCTAATACTGACCCCAATATATTCCATTTATTCTAATAAAGGTGTTATCTGAATGTAAATGCTAATTTTCCAAGGCAGAAAATATGGGGCTTACAAGAGAATCTGTTTAATATGTGTATAGAGGATCCTGCTAGCTTCCCCGTTTCCTATCCTTAAGGCAAGTACAGTTGTAAAGAGGTGAGTTGCAAGATGGTGGGCTTTCACTGGCATTCCCCAAAGGTGCCAAACTGTGAAGGAAGTGTTTTTCATTTATCCGAAAATTCTGGGGGCTCCTGGTGCTGCCCACCTGGGCCTCCTGGAACTGAGGTTGTTCTCGAACCATCATGTTGGGCAGGTGTGAACAGTCTATCACGTTATGAACACTTCTGCTTACTTAAGATGAAGACAAACCAGTTCTGTATGACTTCTAGTCCGTATGCACTGGGTCCCGGCTCTGACTCTGACAGTGTAAACCACTGACCCCCTGTTTTAACTGTTTCTGTTTTAACGGCATCACGTTGAAAGAAGCCTGTTCACCCGCCATCTGAAAGACAGGTCAAACCTAAAGAAAATAGTGTTTTCTTTGCAAAATGTGTTTTCCTTATTTGTTTACATATGCAAAGTGGGATTAGTGTGGAAACTTTGGGAAATACAGGAGAGCACAAAAGAAAAAAATATCAAAATCCTTATCATCCCTAACCGAGGGATAATCACCATTACTATGTCCTTCCAGTTTTTTCCTCGGTATTCATATTTAATAAATGATATCATACAGTGTATATTATCTTAGATACTTTCAGGACGCCTAGCTGGCTCAGTGGGTGGAGTGTCTGACTCTTGATCTCGGGGTTGCGATTTCGAGCCCCATGTTGGGTGTGGAGATTATGTAAAGAAAATAAAATCTTAAAAAAGAAACTACTTTCTATTCACTGGCTTTGGGAACATGTTTCATATAAATAAATATTCTTGGGTGATGTGATTCTTTATGACTACATAGTACTGCCTCTAAAATGAACCTTAATTCACTCACTCAGTTCTCTGTTCTTGGACATGTGGGCTGCTTTCAGTGATTTGCCCACAATTACTATGTTAATTTTAACTAACCCTGTAGTCGCTGTCCTTGGGAGTGCATCCCTTTGGTTCTTTAGAATGAGTTCTTAGAAGTAGAATTACTGGATGGAAGCTTACTAGGTACATTGTAAGCCTTCTGATGTGCGTGGACAAATTGTCCCCCTCTCCTCACCCTAAAGTTTGCACCCACTCACACCCCTACCAGCCATCTAGACTTCTGCAAATAATAGGGTCTGCCTAGGCCTTTTCCAGGAGTAGCACTAACCCCTTGCCAAGGTTTTGATAAAGAAAATGGCAAATTTTGTATCTAACGT